CTTTCTATGTCCCTGATTCTATTATAATCACCAGTTCATTCTGTTCATCAGATTATTTATTCACTTGATTCTTAGATTCACTTGTTGATAGATGCGTATTTGTTGTTCATAATTTGTATCTTTACCTATTTCTTCTTCTTCCTCTTCTTTTTTTTTTTAAATTAAATTTTTATTGTTCAGATTACATTTGTTCCTCTTCCCCCCCCCATAACTCCCCTCCTTCCAGTTCCCGCCCCACCCTCCGCCCTCACTCCCCACCCACTGTCCTCATCCATAGGTGCACGATTTTTGTCCAGTCTCTTCCCGAATCTCCCATTCCCCTTTCCCCCCCAAGAATAGTCAGTCCATTCCCTTTCTATGTCCCTGATTCATTATAATCACCAGTTCATTCTGTACATCAGATTATTTATTCACTTGATTCTTAGATTCACTTGTTGATAGATGCATGTTTGTTGTTCACAATTTGTATCTTTACCTTTTTCTTCTTCCTCTTCTTAAAGGATACCTTTCAGTCTTTCGTGTAGTACTGGTTTAGTGGTGATGAACTCCTTTAGCTTTTCCTTATCTGTGAAGCTCTTTATCTGACCTTCAATTCTGAATGATAGCTTTGCTGGATAAAGTACTCTTGGTTGTAGGTTCTTGGTATTCATCACTTTGAATATTTCTTGCCACTCCCTTCTGGCCTGCAAAGTTTCTGTTGAGAAATTAGCTGACAGTCGTATGGGTACTCCCTTGTAGGTAACTGAGTTTCTTTCTCTTGCTGCTTTTAAGATTCTCTCTTTGTCTTTTGCTCTTGGCATTTTAATTATGATGTGTCTTGGTGTGGTCCTGTTTGGATTCCTTTTGTTTGGGGTTCTCTGCGCTTCCTGGACTTGTAAGTCTATTTCTTTCACCAAGTAGGGGAAGTTTTCTGCCATTATTTCTTCAAATAGGTTTTCAATATCTTGCTCTCTCTCATCTTCTGGCATCCCTATAATTCTGATGTTGGTACGCTTGTAGCTGTCCCAGAGGCTCCTTACACTATCTTCGTATTTTTGGATTCTTTTTTCATTTTGCTTTTCCGGTTGGGTGTTTTTTGCTTCTTCGCATTTCAAATCTTTGACTTGATTCTTGCGCTCCTCTGGTCTGCTGTTGGGAGTCTGTATAATATTCTTTATTTCAGTCAGTGTATGCTTACTTTCTAGTTGGTCCTTTATCACACCATCTAGGGTCTCATTAGATTTCCTATACATCTCATCAAGTTTATCGACAGACTCTAGAAGCCTCTTGAGAGACCTCAAAAGTGTGGTTTTGAATTCTATATCCAGTAGCCTGCTTTCCTCTGGTTCTGTTCTTTGTGGCCTGTTTCTTTGTCTCGGCATTTTTTTATGCTTCGCTGTGTCGATAGAGTGGCTTTCCGTGTTAAGTGTCCCAATTACCTGAGGTTGACACTCTTGGTGCACCCCCTTGTGGTCTTTGTGCGCAGTCTTGTTGTAGTTAAGCCTTGATTGTTGTAGGTAATTACTACTTGACCTCCAGGCCAACTGGCTGTGAGAATCAGCTGTGTCTGCAGTGGGAGAACTTCTGTCCTCTAGGGAGGTGCTAATCTAGCCTTTGCCTGAGGCTATCTGGCAAATGGCTCTGTGCAGGGCTTGGGCGGGGCGGGTCCCACGGGATCAACAGGGCGGAGGAGGGAGCAGTTATGGCTGCTCTCAGTCCGTCCCCAGGGGCTCTGCCTCTCTGTCCCAGCAACCGCTGCAAACCTCAGAGGGACCGAAGCCAGACAGTCCCGCTTCTCCCGTTTGAGTCTGGGTCCCTAGAGATTCGCCCAGATCTGGAGCTCAGAGTCTGAGGCTCCCTCCGGATTGAAACAGACAACCACACCCTCAGCCACCAGCCTGTGCCACGAGCACTCCGCACCTTAGTATTTTACTTCAGCACTGCGCCTCCTCTGATTCTCGCTTCCTCCTAGTTGTAGAACTTCCACTCAGCCAGCCTTCCTGTGGTTCTGGATGATGTCCGTTCCGTCTTTTAGTTGTATTTTTGAAGTGGTTGTTCGAGGCAGCAAACTCTGGCATTAACCTATGCCGCCATCTTGGTTTCTCTCTAGTTGTATTTTTGAAGTGGTGCGAGGCAGCAATTTCCAGTGTTTACCTATGCCGCCATCTTGGTTTCTCTCCGAGAGGTTTCTTTGTTTGTTTTTGTTTTTCAGTTGAATTTTATACTCAGCCAGTATTGTCTTCAAGAAGTGCAATAGCTTTATTCAGTTTCACTTTCTTGATATTTCTGAGAATCTGGGAATGCTTCCATTTCCCACAAATCCATCCTGATTGATGCTAACATCCATTGACCAGGCAGCTCTTCTGCTGGTCTGTCTGCTGCTGCTCTCTCTGTTCCTCTTTGTACTCAAGCAAAGACCCAGACTCCTCTCTCAGTTCCACAAAGCACACCTAATACCAGAAGGTTCAGCTTAAGGAATTTTACTGTGGTTTTCCTGATAGCATCTTATTACCTCTCAGAGAAGGCCAGGGGGTAGTCTCTGTCAACTTATCCCTGCCTCTGCGGTGAGCACTCAGAGGCTCAAAGACGTTGAGAAACTTCCCCATGGTTAAAGAGAGCAAGGTCCAAAGCATTTTCCAGCGTTTGGCTAGTATCAGTGGTTAGGTAGTCATCAGTCCATTTAAGCTGTTTCACACAAAAGCATTAAAGTAACGGAACCACATGGTGAGATGATATTCTATTTTCAATTATCTCCCATTTCTTCTCATTCCAGGGAGGAAAGCCCCAGGTGGTTTCTAATACCCTTTGAAAAGTTCTCTAGCATGTGTCAATCTCCTTTTCTAACAAAGAGAGAGCAGGCAACAAGTACCTAGCTTGAGTTTAATTATAGAGTTTTGTTTTCCTTGTATTTATTTATAAATATTTTTTATTGATTTTAGAGAGGAAGGGAGAGGGAGAGAGAGCTAAATTAGAAACATCAATGATGAGAGAGAATCATTGGTCGGCTGACTCCTGCACGCCCCACACTGGGGATCGAGCCTGCAACCCAGGCATATGCCCTGACTGGGAATTGAACCGTGACCACCTAGTTCATGGATCGATACTCAACCACTGAGCCAGCTGGGCTTCAGACACACATTTTTAAAAAATATACTTTTTAAAAATTGATTTCAAAGGGAGAGGGAGAGAGAGAAACATCAATGATGAGAGCCATTGATCAATTGCCTCCTGCACACCCCCTACTGGGAATGGAACCCAAAATCTGGGCATATGCCCTTGACCGGAATGTGCCCAGGACCCTTCAGTCTGCAGGCCGACGCTCTATCCACTGAGCCAAACTGGCTAGGGCTACCCTGTTACAGTTTGATCGTAAAGAGCTCTCCTGGCCCATTCTCCCACTCTTTGTTCTAAAATTGGCTGGAAACATCCCTCAGCACATGAGTACAGGGATTTTGTGGTCTAACTTGTCATGCTTCTTCCTTGTGTCTGAGCTATAAGTTTTAAATAACTTTCCAATCTCATTACACTGGACAGAGAGAGAAGGAAGCACGGAGTCTGTGATAAATACTGAACAAGTCACAACAGTGCTTCTCCATAGCACATTTACCCTGAACCAGCTGCCCCTGATTAGGGAAAAGGCCTGGAGAACTGTAGGACACATGGTCAGCTGGCTTTGTTGGAAGTTGATTTTCATGGACCTCCTGGATTCTCATGTTTGGTGATGGGATAAGAAGGAAAGACTTCCAATTTTTCACTATACTTTATTCATTAATCCTTTATACACGTTTTGCCCTCTGCCTCCTGGAGTCTTGTAAATGGTGGGTAATAAGGAAGAAAATGAAAGAAATTTCTTTCACAAAGAGTCAGTGGTCATAAAATGACAATGTATGTTTCATCTGTATAGCATTTCAGTTATTTTCCTACATGCTCAGGACCCTAACAGTGGAGATAAATAAGATGTAAAGTGACCACAGGAAAAAGGTGTAATTTCCATGTGTTAATGATGGTATTAAATTTATGAGAAAGTAAGCGTGGACACAGAATACATTTTTGATGATCAAATCATAAATGAGATGTTTGCAGATGAGTCATACATAACCTTCCTATAAATGGAGTCTAGGTGTCCAGTTCTGTCGGTCTCACTCATCCTTCTGTACACATATTGGGATGTTTTAGGTCCCAGTGGCCTTTGAGGATGTGGCTGTGAACTTCAGTCTGGAGGAGTGGGCCCTATTGGAGCCTTCACAGAAGAAACTCTACAGAGATGTGATGAGGGAAACCTTGAGGAACCTGGCCTCCATAGGTAAGGATGAGGACATTTCTTCAATTGTCAAGTAGAGAACAAGTGTTTCTTGTTCATCAGCATAATTCTATGATGTGTAATGTAGAAGGGAGCATGGTAAATAAACTGGGCATGGTCTCTGCTCATCATAGATCTAGAAGCTAATAATTTTTTTATAATTATAATGATTTGGAATAATTTTTCTGGTTCTGAATTTTAGGGGGAAAATGGAAAGATCCGTACTTTAAAGATCAGTACAAAAACCAGGGAAGAAAACTAAGGTGAGTTGCACAGTAGAAAGCAGTGTCTCATGTGAGAATTCTCATTTGTTATGAAATCTTAAAAAGAAGCAAACAAAACTAAATAAATCTTGCTAAAATGTCTTTCTTAGAATGGTTTTACTAAAACTACTTTCTTAAATGTAGCATACATGTTCAGTTTGCAAATTTTATCACTTGGAAGCTGTATTAGTAAACTGTACATATGAATATCACAGTTTGATAATAGCATGGGTGAAGTTTTCTTGGAGAGCATTCAATACATTCAATTTAAGACAATTTAGACAAGAAAGGATACCTGCGGAAACCGGTTTGGCTCAGTGGATAGAGCATTGGCCTGCAGACTGAAAGGTCCCAGGTTCGATTCTGGTCAAGGGCATGTACCTGGGTTGCAGGCACATCCCCAGTAGGAGATGTGCAGGAGACAACTGATGGATGTTTCTCTCTCATGGATGTTTCTAACTCTCTATCCCTCTCCCTTCCTCTCTGTAAAAAACTCAATAAAATATATTTTTTAAAAAAGAAAGGATACCTGAACTTTTCCTATAAATCATAATAAATATAATGAATATGAAATCAATAATGTGCTTCTTGATTTTTATAGAAGTTATATGGCAGAGAAACTCGGTGAAAGTAAAGAGAATAGTGAATGTGAAGAAAACTTCAACTTTATTTCAAATTTTAATCAAAAGAAGAAGAAGACTACTGGAGTAAAACCATATGAGCACAGTCCATGTGGAAAAGCCTTTATGTGTCATTCATCCATTGATAGACTTACTAGATGTCACATTGGACAATATGAGTACCTGAAATACGGAGAGAAGCAATATAAATGTAAGGTATGTGGGAGAGCCTTTAGTTATCTACATTGCTTTGAACAACATGAAAGAAATCACAATGGAGAGAAAACCTGTAAATGTAAGGCATGTGGGAGAGTCTTCGTGTGCTTCAAAGCCCTTCGAAAACACATGATAACAAACACTATAGACTCTTCTTATAAATGTAAGGAACGTGGAAGAGTCTTCAGTTGTTCAAATTCATTTCTATTACGTGAAAGAATGTACACAGGAGAGAAACCCTGTGAGTGTGAACAATGTGGGAAAGCTTTCAGTATTTCTAGCGCTCTTCAAATGCATGAAATAGCTCACAGTGGACAGAAACCCTATGAATGTAAGGAATGTAGAAAAGCCTTCAGATGTTATCAAAGCTTTCAAACACATAAAAGAAATCACACTGGAGAGAAACCCTATGAATGTAAAAAATGTAATAAAGCATTTAGTCGTCTCAGTTATCTTCGAAAGCATGAAAGAATTCACGTTGTAGAAAAACCCTATGAGTGTAAAATATGTAATAAAGCATTCAGGTATCCTAGTTATCTTCACATACACGAAAGAACTCACACTGCAGAGAAACCCTATGAATGTAAAATATGTAGTAAAGCATTTAGTTGTCTCAGTTATCTCCAAAAACACAAAAGAACTCATAGTGGAGAGAAACCATATAGATGTAAGGAATGTGGAAAAGCCTTCAGGTGCTATCGAAGTCTTCAAACACATGAAAGAAGTCACACTGGAGAGAAACCCTATACATGTAAAATATGTAGTAAAGCATTCAGGTGTCTCAGTGATCTTCGAAGACATGAAAGAACTCACAATGCAGAGAAACCCTATGAATGTAAAATATGTAGTAAAGCATTTAGATGTCCCCGTTATCGTCAAACACATGAAAGAAATCACCCAGGAGAGAAACCCTATGGATGTAAAATATGTAGTAAAGCATTCATGTATCCCAGTTATCTTCAGAGACATGAACGAACTCACACTACAGAGAAGCCCTATGAATGTAAAATATGTAGTAAAGCATTTAGATGTCTCAGTTATCTTCAGATGCATGAAAGAAATCACACAGGAAAGAAACCCTATGGATGTAAAGTATGTAGTAAAGCATTCATGTATTCCAGTTATCTTCAGAGACATGAAAGAACTCACACTGGAGAGAAACCCTAGGAATGTAAGGAGTATGGAAAAGCCTTCAGTTATCACACAAGCTTCCGAAGACACCTGACAATGCACACAGGAGAGAAACCATAGAAAAGTGTAGAATGTGAGAAAAGCCTCAGTTATCCCAGTTCCTTTCAAACACATGAAGGGACTCTCTGGATAAAAGCTCTTGAATGTAAACAGCATGGAGAAGACTTGAATTGGCTCTCATCCTTCCATGTGAAAATTCCCATGGAGAGAAATAAACATGTAAGTAACATGAGAAAGCTTGATAGAAATTAATCCACGTATAAGGTGCCAGAAAACTTTCAACATGAAGAAGTTTTTCTTGAGGTTGTAAATACATTGTATTTATTAAACCTCTTTTTGAAGTGCATTATTGGACCTTGGATTTCTACTAATTGCTTTCAGCAATGAATACTCAGGTGAGATAATTCTAAGAGTTGTCATTCAACAATAGTACATAAGATTAATAGTGCTTTCCCCTTAAGCCCTAGCCATTTTGGCTCAGTGGATAGAGCATCAGCCTGTGGACTGAAGGGTCCCGGGTTTGATTCCGGTCATGGGCACATGCCCAGGTTGTGGGCTTGGTCCCCAGTGATTCTCTTTCATCATTGATGTTTCTATCTCTCCCTCTTCCTTCCTCTCTGAAATCAATAAAAATATATATTAAAAAAGTAGTACTTTTCCCTTAAAATGTTTAATATTTTTCTTCATGTTGAAGTCTTTTAGATCCATAGATATTTGAAGTATATTTCTTATATGCAGTTAGGTTAATTTTTTGTTTACAATGTTTCATTGTTCCGTGTTAAGGAGTCATTTTAAAAAGAACAGTTTGCTAATTTTTTTTAACAGTTTGCTAATTTGATTTTCTTAGTGGTCTTGTGGCAATCCTTTATATTCCTAGATTATTATTATATAAATTCTATTTTCCCTCAGACAAAGCTCCTTTTTGGAGGTGATGGGTATAAGAGCCTTTCCCATTTTTATACTAATAAATATTTAGAATAAATTTTATGTATCACAATTTTATTAAATAAAGTGGTTTTATGTGAATACTATTTTTATATTTGTGCCTTTGATTTTTTAAAATTTAAATTTTTTATTGTTTAAAGTATTACATGAGTCTCCTTTTCCCCCCATTGACCTCGCCCCAGTCCCTCCCACTGCCCTAGCACATGCCCTCACCCCCTAACTGTCTGTGTTCATTGGTTATGCTCATATGCATGCATACAAGTCCTCTGGTTGATCTCTTAACCCACACCCATCCCCACCCTGCCTTCCCTCATAGGGAAAATAAACAAATGAGACTACATCAAAATAAAAAGCTTCTGCACAGCAAAACAAATAGTCTCATTTGTTTATTTTCTCCTTAGTTTCCATTGTCCTAGGAGCTGTATTGGTAAAGATATTGCCATGCTGTTGCAAATGGTAAGAATTCCTTCTTTTTTTTATTTTTTTTTACAGCAGTGCAGTATTCCATTGTGTACATGTACCACAGTTTTTTTTCTTTATTGATTAAGGTATTACATATGTGCCCTTATGCCCCCATTACGCCCCTAGCCCTCACTCATGCCCTCACCCCCCTGGTGTCTGTGTCCATTGGTTAGGCTTATATGCATGCATACAAGTCCTTTGGTTGATCTCTCTCCCTTACCCCCACCCTCCCCTATCTTCTCTCTGAGGTTTGACGTCTGATTGATGCTTCTCTGTCTCTGGATCTGTTTTTGTTTATCAGTTTATGTTGTTCATTATATTCCACAGATGAGTGAGATCATGTGATATTTATCTTTCTCTGACTGGCTTATTTCGCTTAGCATAATGCTCTCCAGGTCCATCCATGCTGTTGCAAATGGTAACAGTTCCTTCTTTTTTACAGCAGCATAGTATTCCATTGTGTAGATGTACCACAGTTTTCTAATCCACTCATCTACTGATGGGCACTTAGGCTGTTTCCAAATCTTAGCTATGGTAAATTGTGCTGCTATGAGCATAGGGGTGCATATATCCTATCCAATTGGTGTTTCTGATTTCTGGGATATGTTCCTAGAAATGGGATTACTGGGTCAAATGGGAGTTCATTTTTAATTTTTTGAGGAAACTCCATACTGTTTTCAACAGTGGCTGCACCAGTGTGCATTCCCACCAGCAGTGCACGAGGGTTCTTTTTCTCCACATCCTCGCCAGCACTTGTCTTTTGTTGATTTGTTGATGATAGCCATTCTGACAGGTGTGAGATGGTACCTCATTGATGTTTTGACTTGCATCTCTCAGATGATTAGTGACTTTGAGCACGTTTTTATATGTCTCTTGGCCTTCTGTATGTCCTCTTTCGAAAAATGTCTATTTAGGTCCTTTGCTGATTTTTTATTGGATTATTTATCTTCCTTTTGTTAAGTTGTATGAGTTCCCTGTAAGTTTTGGAGATTAAGCCCTTATTGGACATAACATTGGCAAATATGTTCTCCCATGCAGTGGGCTTTCTTGTTTTGTTGATGGTTTCTTTTGCTGTGCAGAAGCTTTTTGTTTTGATTTAGTCTCATTTGTTTATTTTCTCCTTAGTTTCCATTGCCCTAGGAGCTGTATCAGTAAATATATTGCTATGATATATGTCTGCTATTTTGCTGCCTATGGCTTCTTCTAAGATTTTATGGTTTCCTGACTTATGTTTAAGTCCTATATCCATTTTGAGTTTATTTTTGTGTATGGTGTAAGTTGGTGGTCTAGTTTCTTTTTTTGCACGTGTCTGTCCAATTTTCCCATCGTTTATTGAAGAGACTGTCTTGACTCCATTGCATGCTCTTGCCTCCTTTGTCAAATATTGATTGTGCATATGTGCCTTTGATTTTTGTCCTTCCTTCGGACTGATATTTGGTGAATTGATTTTGATTAAGAGGATGGACCTATAATAGAGCAACAACATCTAGAATTGGAAATAGTCCCTGTGGGTAATGTTAAGAACTTGATTTTCCAGAATCCATCTTCTTTATAATTCCATGTTAGAATTTGTTAATAGCCTTACTTGTATTAGATTTAGAAGGCAAAAACAAAGAAGGCATTAGTCAGATTTTGGAGAACCATTTGGACAAATAAGTACATAGAAGCTTCAAGAACACCATCTTCCAGTCCATTTTTTAATTCTTTGATTTGTCAAGACTATCATCAAGCCCAGCCAGTATGGCTCAGTGGTTGAGCATCAAACATATGAACCAGGAGGTCATGGTTCGATTCCTAGTCTGGGCACATGCCCAGCTTTTGGGCTCGATCCCCAGTAGGGGGCGTGCAGTAGGCAGCCAATCAATGATTCTCTCTCATCATGGATGTTTCTCTCTCTCTCCCTCTCCCTTCCTCTCTGAAATCAATATATATATATATATATATATATATATATATATATATATATATGGCGCGGCTACAGTGTTTTGGCCAGATTCAAGCCTCAGACTAATGAAAGGACAGGGTCCTCTCATTGCTACATGCAAGTCCCAGCTGGAAGGGCAGGGCCCTCCCAGCACAATTATAGCCAACAGCTATGGTTGTAAGCTTGAAACTATGGTCCAAACACATGGCCCCACGTGCCTTGTGATAGAGTTCGGGTGCATGTAGTTAAGTGAGGTTGAAACTCACGAGAATGCTGTAAACAACTTGATCACGCCCCTACTTTGCCTCGTGGCATCTGCTATAAAATAAAGACATGGCTTGTGGGTGCTGGCGCTGTCTCCTCATTAGGGAGCAGCATCCCATCGAGACCCAGCTTTCATTCTCTTGTCTGTCTTTTCTCAATCCTTTCACCGCCCCCGCCCCCCCTCAGAGTCACTGAACCAGGCTGAGGTGGCATGGCACATAAGGCACCCTGGGGCAGAGTATGCCATGGCCGTGCCGGATATATATATATATATCCTTTATATATATATATATATATATACACACTAATAAAAGAGA